TATTCAAAACATAATTAACCTATTTGTATCAGAAACCAAGTTTTCTTTGCATCCCTCGACAACTTACTGCTTTGAGGACAGTACTGTGACAACAGAAACCAGGCACCGGTTTTTAGCCCGTTAGGATCTCCATGAAGACCCCACATCTGTATGGAGTACCTGTGGGTCTGTCTGCGTTAGTCTTTCCTTCTGTAAGGGCACCTCCCACCTCCCCGCCCCTCGCCCACCCCAGGCATACAAATAAGCCTCATGTTCTTCCCTTACTTTAATCTTCTTCTAACTGGAGCTGCCAATTACACAATCCAGGTCATGGGGATCTGCGACCATCTCCAGGTCCATCAACGGCCCTCTCTGTGATTTTTAAAATGGAAACTGAAGGAAAATAAGTGTCTCACTCTCAAAAGAACCTCATGGAGAAAGTCACTGCAAAAGAATCATTTTAGTCTGAAGGTACAGAGCAAAGGCACAGGGGGACACTGATCCGGGTCCTGGCTCAAGCCTCACTTTACGCCAGAGCACTCCCCCCCTCCCTGGCTTAACCTGGAGTTTGTTTATGGAAAGTACGAGCCTACCACTTGCAAAAGAACTACCCATCTTCCAGCTAAAGCCAAATCCACGATCTCATTAGTCCTTCCAACAGCTATGTGCCGCAAGGGTGACCTCTATTTTATCGATGAGGTACCAGCAGCTCGGAACTAAGAGGTATGTCCAAGGCATCCCATGAGGAGCTGAGCTGTGGTTTAAAGATGGGTCACGCAGACTCCCAGAGGCAACACCGGGCATCCCCGCCTCTCACTGGGCATCCTGAACACCAGCTGGGGCTCAGTGACCCCAGACAATATGCAGTGAGCGCAAGCTTCCTCTTCATTATTGAACAGAGATGCCACTGATCTTGATCAACTCCTGGGGGGTGTTGCAGGCGTCAGCTAAATAACTCCGATAAAGTGCTCTGAGAATATAAATAGGTATCATTTTTTATACCACACTATTAAACACTGGACCCTTGCAACGTCAGTAACTAGAAACCAGAAAACTAGCACTTTTTAAAAAGCAATCTAAAGGAAAACCGTGCATAAATATTTGGTATCAGTCATTTACTTGAACATTAATATGTTTGTTTCACCTGACAAAATATAATTGGTAATTCAGAAGTGAGTTTCCTCAAAAGACCTTAAGTTACATCAAAAGACAAAGTATTTCTAGAAAATCGAATCGTTCTACTTTTGTAGATGTCTTCCCCCGCCCCCCCCCCCCCCCCGCCCCAATCAGTGAGATTTTTAATTTGGTCTCAGCACTTGCTTGTAGATCTGAAGTGGCCACGATCTCCCAGGTCCATGACTGGCACAACTCTGAGGAACCATGAACTTCGAAGTGGACAAAAGCAGACGCAGCCAAAGCAAAGGATGATGGATTTGTTTGCAAAACTAATTTTCTCAGAAGAAAAATAGACGTCTCCTTCAACACAAGGGTGCACTCAGATTTGCTTTTCGTATTAGTAACTTGTTTAATATGGCACGGCACAGGAGGCAATCCGTTAAAAAGCAATTTCCCTCTTTCCACACGGTGTTCCATCATCGGATGTGTAGTGCTTGATCAGAAGGCGGCACTCCTTAATATTTTATGAGCAGAACACAACTCATTGGGCACGTTGACTTCAGAAGCGCGGGGGTCTTTCTCCCCGGCCTTGCGGAATGTCCGGGGAGGGGCCTGGGTGGTGGGTGCTGAGTGACAGGTGAATCTGAACCTCAAACTATCAAAGCGAAAAGTAGGCTTGAGAACTAGTAACAGGCATTTAAATATCTATGCATATGTATGTAAGTACATATGCAGGCATTTAAATATGTATGTATGTATATACACATACACAATACATATACACATACACATATACATGTATGTATTATACACATACACACATACATATACACATACATATACATGTATACATATACACATACACATATGTGCATACATATATACACACGCACCTATATGTATATATTAAATGACTTACAACTAATAGGAAAAAGTATCAGTCCCGACTTGTTCTTACACCTTCTGAAGTGGAGCCTCTGGGGGATGGAGACCGTATCCGGCTCCCCTTGGTACCCGCTGTATCCATCGCAGTCCCTAGCACATTGTAAGTAGTCAGTAGGTTTTTACTGAATGTGTGTGTCGCCTTAGATGAAGGGAACCTGCCATGACAGGTCAGGCCCCAGCTGTCCAAGCTCAGCCTCGCCGCAGAGACCAGACCTGACCAGGTGCTGGGCAACTTGTGGGAGTGTTGAGAGCCATCCTTCCACGGGAGGTGGGGTGTGGAATAATCTACAGTGCGAGCAGCATCAGGGGTACCCTAGAGGCCCCGAGATAATAGCCCATAGAGCTAGCTTGACCGCCAGGAGGGTTGCTCTGCACCCATCCCGCCCCCAACTCCTGAGCACAGACCTGACATTTCGTTAATGCCTGCACAGACCCTGCCCCCAGGGCTCCCCTCCACCCACGGGGGGGAGGGGTGTGTGGACCCACGTGGACCCTGTCCCCACACTGCCTGGAATCTGACCACCTTTTACCAGTTAGTCCCCTTGGTTCCATACTCCCCCTCCCCAGGGGACCCCTTTAACGCCTGTGTCTGCAACCCCAGCCCCTGAGGTGACCTATGAACAAGCCCACATGAACATGCCTGCCGTCCTCGCTGCTTAAAGGCGGAGAGACGTTTTGAGAAAGGTGTCGCTGGGCAGTTTGCCACTGAGAACATCGAAGAGCGCGCTCACACAGACCTAGGTGGAGTAGCCCACGGGCCCCTTGGCGACACGGCTCAGCCACTGTTCCCAGGCTCCAGGGCGGCACGGCCCGGCCCTGCACACGCAGCGTGAGACTGAATCAAGCGCGAGAGAAAATGATGCGACCGAGAGACTCGGTCAACAAGGCGCAGGTGGCTGAGGCCGGCCTGACACAGCGTGTTACAAAGAGTAGTAAACACACGATACTATTCGCATGAAACATGGGGCAGGGAGGGCTGTGAGCACGTCACCCAAGGACACGCAGGTGGTGAGTGGCAGAGACAGAACCCAGCTGCCCATAATCCCCAGCGCTCTCCTTGTCCTCCACCACGTCCCTGTTCTGTTACCGTCTAGCACTAGAGACGCATGTCTGCCTGGCAGAGAAGAGCAGAAATCTGGGGATGGCAGTCAGCACAAAAGAATATTCCTTCTGCTGCCCCCAAGATGACTGGTGAGAGCCACATCAGGGGAGGAAGGGATGAGGGAGGGAGAAGGACAAGGTGGGAAAGGACGTGCCGGCCAGGTGCAGCATGACAGGCCTCCAGTTCCGGGAGACCTCAGATGGTGTGCAGTGCCTTGGGGCCAGTGGCGACAGTGTTCCCCACAAGTCTGGAGATAGGCATGGAGCAGTCACAGCTATGAGACTAAAGAGTTCAGCCGGACTGGGCTGATTCAGGACCTTCAGCTGATCTCAAGTCAGTCTGATGAGGAGCAGGGAAGGGAACGGCATCCAGGGGCCGGCGAACAGACATGCTAACGCGGGCGAGCAGAGACCCCCGTGGACGACGCGGCCTTCTCTCGGGTGGGGCTGCTGCTCTGGTCATGAGAAACAGCCCGCACGTGGCCATTGGTAATGAACTTCCTGGCGGCTCCCTGAACTGGGCTCCTTCCCGCCCACACGGGCGCGCACGGCTGCTGTGCGTAGCCAAATAGACTCCACCTCTCCGCGTTCTGAATGTTCTAGTTTACCTTAGTCGGTTCTACGCCGTAAATAAAACATAGCCCCCTTTCCAATTTCATATCGGATTTCTTCCCATTCATCATTTCAGCTCTCAGGCACCTGACTGGATATGTATGCTTCTGCAATAATGCCAAACGGCCAACACTTCTCTGGCGCAAACAGGGTTCTCTGGCGCCCACGTTATTAAGCCCACGGGGAGAGATTCGTGTGTGCCACGTCTGTCCACGCTGAGGGAATGGAAGGCGCCACCGTAAGGAGGCTCAGTGCTGACCACAGGTGTCGGCCAGGTTCAATCAGATTCACTTGAACAGGGTAAAGCCAAAGTACGCCGATGAGCCACAGGCAAGAAGGTCATGGCGCCCTCTTTTTCTGGGTGTCCTCTTCAATTTTGTAATATAAATAAGAAAAAGAGCAAAAAGCTTATCTCGGACCAGATTTTTCATGACCAGTGACCCATTTTCTTCAATAATTCCTTCTCTCTCAGAGGAAGTGAGATACTGGGACCAAGAGATTCCAAGCCACTCATTTTTTTTCGCTATAGAGAAAATGGTTCCAAAAGAAAGAATAGGAAATGACCTGAGGGTAGGCTAAAAACTGGTCTTTTTCCTGACCGAGCAGTAAATGCAAGGCTGTTTCACTCTCGACTCGTGTTTATAATATTTGAAACGCAGTCGCGGTTCCTGCCAGTGTTCCCTTCTCGTAGATTTGAACTGTGTTTATTCCCAGAGCAGACATGCAGAAATACAAGCGCTGCAGATGGGAGCCACAGGGCTCGGCCCGTGGTGCCCGGGAACAGCCCCCAGCACCCGGGGAGCCCCGCGGAGGCCAGGGCACGGCCCGGAGGCCGGCTGCACACCTGGGGAGCCCGCGGAGGCCAGGGCACGGCCCAGAGGCCGGCTGCACACCTGGGGAGCCCGCGAGGCCAGGGCACGGCCCGGAGGCCGGTTGGCCAGCTGCACACCCAGGGAGCCCATGAAGACCAGCTGGCCGGCTGCACACCTGGGGAGCCCGCGAGGCCAGGGCACGGCCCGGAGGCCGGCTGCACACCCGGGGAGCCCGTGAGGCCAGGGCACGGCCCGGAGGCCGGCTGGCCAGCTGCACACCCAGGGAGCCCCATGAAGACCGGCTGGCCGGCTGCACACCCGGGGAGCCCGCGGAGGCCAGGGCACGGCCCGGAGGCCGGCTGGCCGGCTGCACACCCGGGGAACCCCGCGGAGGCCGGCTGGCGGGCTGCACACCCGGGGACCCAGCGCACTTACGCAGCTCGCCCACTTTCAGGATCTCGCACAGCATCCTGGTCAGCTCGATGCTGCTGCGGCCGAAGGGACACTCGTGCTTGTCTTCTCGGCTGCTGTTCTCAAGCACGATCTGCGGGCAGAGAAGGGATGGGTCAGTGGGGGGCACCCGGCACGAGGGGGCTCTGTGAGGGGACAGGTCAGAGGGCAGTGGGGGGCACCCGGCACGAGGGGGCTCTGTGAGGGGACAGGTCAGAGGGCAGGGAGGGGCACCTGGCACGAGGGCGGCTCTGGGAGAGGCACAGACCCCTCCAGCTCACCAAACGGGCTCTCGGGGCCACGCTGAAAGCGTCCCCCAAGCATATTCTCGGTACATGGACCCTAAACCCTCCCACTTCCCTGACCCCTGAAGCCTTCTGAGGCCCCGGGGAGAGGATGTTCTGCCTGTCGGTTGTCACCGAGAGATGCCTATGGAGAGAGTTTTTCAAAACAGCACCACAGAGAATTTTACTTCAGTGACGAAATCACTCTGGTCCTCCCGGCTGGGTCCTCCCTCTCCTGGGAACCGCAGCTCTTCTGGGACTTCCACACGTGTTCTCGCGGGACCTTAGCCCTGGCCTCGGGTGACTGGCCCGCACCGGAGGGACCTGTCACAGATGGGCCACCCGGAGCCCTCCCTGGACCGATCACAGGAAAAGGGGAAACTGGCCCAATGGCGCCGACAGCACCGAGGGATGTGTGAGGAGCTACCTGAACGTGAGCCTCGGCAACACAACTTCAGGAGAGAAACACACGGAGCAAAGAAACGGACAGGAGAGGCGCGGGAGCCGGGGAACCCTCGAGTGGCTGTCCCGCGGTCCCTGGAGCAAAGCTACGTCCCTGGCCCTCACCCTTCCTCTGAGAGCCCTTGGCCGCCTGGTCAACCCTCGTGTCCTTGTTCCTGCTACAACGCACAAAGCCACTGACCCGCGGATGACACCGAAGTAAAGCAGACAGAACTCGAGTTCCCATTTTACATTCCCACGTCCACAGGAGCCCGCCAGCCCGTCCGTGTCTCTGCTGCTGCTTCCCACTCCATGGACTGTCTGGCACCGAGAGCCACGACTACGTGTCTCCACCAAGGCCGTGCGCCGGCCTCCGTGGTCTCTCCCGTGGCCTATGAAGTCTTCAGTGGCAGGAAGGGTTCGTTTGTTCAATCGAAACTAATAACTAAGCACCTATTATCTGCCAGGAAGACATCTGGGTCCCATCAAGTGAACAAGACAGACTGGGGTCTGACCTCATGAAGGACTCATTCTAATCAAGGGAGACAGGCAGAACAGAGGTGACCCACGTTTACACAGGTGCCAGGGCTGAGGTGGTGAAGAGGGGGGTGGCGGCTGAGCAGGGGCGTTCAGACAACCAGGTGAGCACTCGGAATCAAGGGGGAGAAGGCCTCGCGCGTCAGGGTCGGGGAGCCTCGGAGGCAAAGAACACAGAGCCCGAGCTGGGCAGCTGGGAGTCGGGCAGGCCAGCACGTGGCCGGTGTACAGCGGGGAGCGGTCTGAGTTGTGCAGGGCCACAGTCTGGGGACCGAGGGAGTCCTGGCAAAGCCAGAGGAGCCCAAGGGGTGGTCCAGAGCCCTGCCCAGGGCTGCGCGGGGGGTCACACGGAGACTCCGACAGGCTGACCAGGAGGCTGAGACAGGTGCGTGACGGAAAGATGTGCACAGCAGGAACTCAGAGAGAAGACACGGTCCTTCGGGTTCGGGGGAGGGGACAGTGTCCCGACAGACGCCAGGTGGCTCAGGCCGGGCCCGCGCGTCCAGCCTGTCCTCGGTGACCACACAGGGCAGCAAGGCAGAGACAGAGGATGAGGTGGGGCGGGGCTTCCAGGAAAGAGAGATCAAAGGAAGACTGTGCAGAAGGAGGGAAGGAAACGGGAAGAAGGAAAAGTAAAAGCAGGTGGTGTATTGACACACCTGGCTCCAATCAGTGAACCAACGGGAGGGAGCTCGATGTAGCCAGAATTGTTTGAAACCAAAGTCGGATCCAGAATTGTTTAAAACCAAAGACGGATTTTAACAAAACGTGCTCCGTTATGTTCTGCACACACACCACGGCCGTAACACACACAGACAGACACACATTATACACAGGACAGTCCCCCGCAACAGATCAACTGTTTCCCACAGGGACGCTCCCCACAGCGCTGCATTCACATCCGGCCGCAACCACGGCAAATCACTGGCATTTTCAATCTCCGGGTCCACTTGAGGCACCGTGGCCAGTGCTTGTGGCCTTTGTCATGGTCCCTCCATCACCCTCAGGACTGTCCGAGAAGTCACTGACCCATCCCATCCCGTGGGACTCCTCGGGTTTGCCACATCTGCTTCGATACATAATTACGCGCTGAACGCCCCCATGAACAGCCTTCATGGCCCCTGAGATCTAGGCTAAAGACTCTTCCCTGCAGTCTCTTTGGGAAACACTAGTTCTCGGTTGGTTGTTTTTTCTCTGAAGAAGCTGCACACAAACTCCAACAAAATCCCTTCTCCTGCCGACCTGGGAAAAAAAACACTGTGCGGCCCTTGAAACTCAGGTTCCCTCTGCCCAGTCTTTTCTGGATAATCCGAGTCTCCTTCGATGGGGTCTGGATCACTCTCTCCCTTTGGGAAGAATCCTTTCTGGTTCTAGCCAGGAATTCCAAAGCAGGAAAGCAGGGTAGAATCATTAAACCCCCATCCATCAAGGAGTCTTTATTTCTCTTTTAAAAATCGCGTCTCTGAGACATCTGTATCAAGGAGCAAACGTGAGTCTCCTGATGATGGGACACGAATGGAAAAACAGAGCGAGAAGGCGACGGAACGCAGAGAAAAGCCAGGGGACAGGTCGTCTGCAGCCAGCTCCCCCTCCCCCCGCTCTGCACATGAACATCCCATTAACATTTCATGAGCACATCAATATTTAATGAGGCTGTGATCTGCGCACACTGTAGGTGGAATTACTGCAGCCAATAAATGTCCTGGAAACATTTCCAAGGCACAGTTTATTAGCCGGCACTAAATTAAGGAGTAACTTAAGTTATCAATATGCAAATCGGCCTGGAGAAGCCCATACTCTTTATTCTTTAATGCATCATCCATCTTATCATATTTACCCACCGCAAGGAAAATAAACCTTCCCTCCGGCACTGGTTTCTTTAGACAGGGCAGACGGAAATCTTTCAAGGGACCTGTGTAGGAGTTCAGGTCAACATTCTCGCAGAAATAGTTTAGAAAAGGCTCTGATGATGAGTGTTACTAATTAGATGTTAACTATAATGAGCAACAATTCTTAAACTGGACAGTGGCTTGTTTTAAAATTTAGCACACTGCTACCTCTATATTCAATTCCAACATTCTGGTATTAACCATGCTCACCTACGACACTGAAAAGTGCCATTTAGAAACAGCAAGGCCTATTATTCATCTTTATTTTTTTCCTTACTCTTCAGATTTTTGTTGTTGTTGTTGTTGTCTTCCATTGACTTTTTGTTTTGTTTTGTTTTTTTTAGATAGAATGGAAGGGAGGGACGGAGGAAGGGAGAAAGAGAGAGAAACATCGATGTGAGAGACACATCAATTGGTTGTCTCCTGCACGACCCCAACCCAGGTGCATGCCCTTGACCAGGAATTGAACCTGTGACCTTTAGGTCCGAGGGCCAATGCTCTGATCCCTGGGCCAAACCAGCCAGGACGATCACTCTTCAGTGTTAAGAGCAAATGTATTGGAACAGAAACCATGACGGATGGAGCACGGAAACCTGCTATTATTGCTCATCTTAGAGAACATCTCGCACCTAAAGCAACAGTAACTGTCTGCATGTTTTCTAAAACACAACACCGGATATTTGCGCAATATTAAGTATAACATATTTTATAAAATATATAGTTTACAGGGTATATATACAAATATCTATCAACTGGTCCCCAATAAGTCCAGAAGATTGATAAGGCAGGTATTCATTATTCTATTAAAAATGTTGAAAATGAGAGCAAGAGGTGACTTGCTTGGATCCTAGAGCCAGCCGAGGTCGGTCCTGGAATTCAATTTTTGAGGTCTTGAATTTCCAAATCTCTTCCTGCCCCACTACAGCTTCTGTCCACGCCACCACAAAACTCAGTGGATTTCACGTCAAAGAGGCCGAGAGAAGGCTGATTCATGTCCCCCGATGCACTGAAGTGAGGCTGTAAATCCCAATGCTCCTAGACAAAGGGAGCAGGGTCTCTGCTATTCATTTATCCCCGATGATGAATAACGGTCTCGCAGGTGAGTGACCAGAGCAGTTGTGAGCTGTCCCCACAGGCTTCATTTCCATCAATTTTGAGTTCCCAGTGGTGCAGATCACCAGCCTATTTGGCTTGGGTGCGACCATTAAATGCTGAGTACCAGGCGGCCACACTCTAGCACTGTCCCCTCTCTGACCTCTGGGGCCACCTGCCCTCTCGTCCTCAGCATCCTGTCACTGGCCTGTATTCGCCGGTTGTCACTGACATGCTCTCTCCTTCACGTCTGCTGAGGGCTCCCCATCTGGGGCAAGTCCAGGCCTCTCCGCGTTCCCTGAAGCCAGCCCTGGGGTGAGCCCAGAGGGCTGCAGTCATCCCCTCTCATCCAGGGAGGCTCCTTTTGCATGCTGCGTTGACTCTGGGGGCCACCGGAAGCACAGTGGCCTCCTGGTGGGCCACCAAGGACCGTGTCTAAACGTGTACTGAGGTTAGACGGTCATATACTTCACATGTTCCCTCCAATATTTCCAGTGTTCACCTGGCACCACACACAGTTGTTGCAATTCTGCGGACCGTGTTTCCCGCGCTGCACTTGACGTCCCTGTGACTGTCCGTAACCGCCCATCCGTGCTGCCCAGTCCCGTCACCCCTCTCACCCAGCCTCCGCCCCCCGCCAACTGTCGGCCTGTTCTCTGTATCTGTGAGGCTGTTTCTGTTTGGTTTGTTCATCTAATTTGTTCTTTAGATTCCACACATAAGTAAAATCATCTATGTGACTGTCTAACCATGATGCTGTGCACCTGAAACCAAACCAAAATAATATTGAAAGTAAACTGTAATTAAAAAGTAAAATAACATTTCTAATTAAAAACAAAACAAAACCCTTG